TGTCGTTAAGCGGCCGCGCGCCGCGAATCGCGCGCGAGCTGATTTATCGATGCCATCAGGGAAATTCCGCGTCCGGATCTTCTGACCAGCTTCTTTTTCCACGTATCTACGTACGCCCGTGGAAATCATTTTTCCCAGAAGATACATATTACGCTTTTCATCGAGCGATGCAGGCCATGCATTCCAATGACAAATATTTTTTACTTTTTTCCCGTCCTTTTCTATTATATATATAAAACTTTTAAAACTCACGTCTGAATTTAGAATTAAAAATTAGTGTTTCAAATAGATTTCGGTAGTATTGTAGACTAAGAATTATATAATCTGCAATAGATTGAAATATACAAATGCATTGTTTATTATTGACGTGATTTCTTATTAATTCTACTTTTTAATATCTTCACGGTTTATTTTTCAAAAGAAAAGCATATATATATAATTAATAAAAGAATGATATAACGCAGCTAAACGCATAGATTAAGACGGGATTATTCCGACGTGGTAAAATTATCTAGATTTATCAATAATGCTCACAGTGTGTGAATCATCGTTCGATAAACTCGCAAAGAATGAAAAAGTATCCACGTGTATTTGCCTATGATGATAATGTATAAGAATTGATGCGATATTTAATCGATACTTAACATGTCGCTCGCGTTGTTTATTTAGTTCTAAGATAAGAGAAACGATAGAACTTCTTTCTCTCCGATATTTCTTTTAATATGCTATCATAAGTTACGTTATAAATGTAAAAACTATATTAGTGTTCGAATAATAAGATAAGACTAAGTAAATTACCTTGCATTTATATTTTTTACGATGTTTAGTACATTATATATTTCTAATACTTCGTTGGGATTATCATTTCGTTTTATCTTTGCACATATAGAAGTGAATGATGAAATACAAACTTCGAAAATGCAACGCTAATTAAACTTATGTTTCCACTTATGATTACTGCTAATTACATTGTTTTTATATAACTTCCGCATTTTATTGCAGTCTTATTATGCATATTTACATAATTATACAGAATTTGATCACAGTAAAAATATATACACACAAACATAAAAATTTTAATGTTTGAAAAAGATATATTTTAACGTCATATATGCAATATTCAACGTGTAATTATGTTGTTTGTGAACTAAATGCTAAGAAGAATTGAATATGATCCAAAAAAAACATAAAAATTCATAAATTGAATTGATTACAATTGATTATTTCGCTCAATAAATTTTACGATTGCTTTGTAATTGCTTTCAAAGAACAAAGTGCTGCATATTATATTCTTTTGTTTCTTATTTAGTTACGCAATGTTATAATAGCAAAATACCGTAAATGTTAAGCCACCCTGTAATTATTAATCGCGCGCGTAGAATATTTTTCCCAGTTCAGGTGCTAATTCACGATTTACGCGCATAAGAAAATTGTTTGAGACGGCAGTGCGATGCATCCAATTATGAGAACTTATAAGCGCATTCTTTTTTTTTATATATCCCTTTTATAAAACGCTTGCATATCCTTAATTAATCACGAATATTTATTGCGTTTTCTCATGCACGCGGGCATAGCGCGAGAGGCAATTAGCGAAACGATTGCATGAAAAAATAAATACGATTTCTTTGGCCTCCCGAGCTCGACGATATCCGCGTCGGCGTCGGCATCTCGCTGAAGGCACTGTTCTGAGCCACCGCCTGGATATATCCTCGCCATAATTAGTTCATTAATGCTAGATACGTTCCGCGTATTCAATTTCCCGATATTATCCGCGCGGTACTTGCATGAGCGCGCGCGCGAGCAAATACGCTCCTATACACAGGCGCCCCCGGTGCATCCATCGTGAGTAAGAGATTAAACTCCGGCAGGTGGTCCGATGAACAATATTACTTATTACCTAATAATTCATCGCTCGACCAATACAAAATATATACCTACTGTTTTCAGAATGCAACACAGAGACGTTGCATAAATTATGACTTAATAAAGCAACGGCAGTAACACAAATTATTTTCACACTATCTATATAAATATAAATAATTATTTTTTTTTGTCAGGTAAATGTTGATATTTCTCAAAATACAATTCTCATTTAAGTTAAGCTCACTGCATATTATTGAAAAACAAAAATGTTCAATGATAGCGGGCACGTCTTTGTAAGAGTGTGTCAATAATGATTCATCGGACTAGAAATTTCTTATCAACTGTGACTGTAATTCTGGTCCATCGCGCTCGCGAAGGGTCAATGAACTCTCGGCGCGAGTTAAGTTCGTTGTCGATGACGTTCGCGAACGCACGGCACAGGAGGTAGGACAGGTATCGTGTTAGAGCGACAAAATGGCCCGAGAAAAATGCGGTTCGGGCGATAAATCAGGTGTATGGCATTCCTAAGATAGTGCGCTATACCTGAAAGTCATTACGCGATGGCAAAGTAATTCCCAACTAAGTAAGTAAAGCGATAAATACATAATGCATTCGACGAGTTTCCCACACGCGTCTGCTCGCTCGTGCGCTCCGTCGATCTCTCTCTTTCTCTCTTTCCTCGCCTCGCCGTCGAGTGCGGTTGCAGCACAGGCCTTACCGCAGTTCCATGAAATAATGCATCAGCCCGAGAGCGAGCGCGCATCATGCGCTGTCGCGGATTTATTTGCACGATCGACGTGGACCGTTCTCGGGAGGAGCATCGGCGCTTTTTGCGACGCGTGCGCGACGTCGTCGTCAGGCAAGGCACGTGGAAGGATGCAAAGTACTCGTCCGACGTGAACGAGTTAAACGGCAGGAAACCGCCGTGAGAAAGCCGCGGAAAAGCGGTCCGCTTCTATAATGCAACGATTCCTAATGCGCTTCGGGGGAATGTCCACGATAAAATGAATTGTTCGTACGATATGACGGAAGCCATTTCTCAACGAAGAGAACGGCTTATTCCCGTAGAAAAATGTAACAGAGCGGGCCATAAATGCTTCAATTCAGCAACTATATTTTATTCATTATTTCTAACTTCAAATTTTTAATGCTTCGACATTGAAGAAACATTTCTAATTTATCGTTAAGATACCTTTCGTAGACTACAAATATTTTAATCTAAGCATAAAAGCATTTTTAGTATATTGTTGTAACTATATTCCACTATTATTAAGTTATGTTACATTATGTCATAGTACGGTAAATTTCTTCTCGCTGATTTTACAAAGTATGAATACGTCTTGTACGATCGGTTTCTACAATGTCACTGGCGCAGGCAAGTCCGCGAGTCTGACTACTCTGAAGGAGTTTCCACTGAATTTCGCGCTAGCGACAACGAGAACGATGGCGAGATTGAAAGAGAAAATAATTGAGCATGAAAGTGAGCAGTCTGTATGAATTCTACTTTCGTGCTTGACACCTGCAGATAACGAAACTTGTATAGCAATCTTCTGCATAGGATTTATCTCGCACTCTCGATAAATGTATGACGGAATTCTTGTTTAAATCTATTAAATATAATTCTAAGATGCGTTCATATGCATCGCTTTCATATATTTTCTGTTATGCGCCGTGTTGCCAGCTGAATTAAAACATGCGAATAATATTTCTTTAATTATCTTTTATTTGAACACAGAAATATACTGTAATTAGGATCTCACAACGTCGGATGATATATGCCGACAGTGATATGTATAATCGTGATAAATTTAAAATAATTAGAGCTGCGCACTATTTACGCAAATAAAAGCATTTCATAATCTTCATTGAAAATCTAATTGTTTAGTCGCGGCAGATAGAAGCGCGTGCATAAGTAGTGGACGGAGGGATCATAAATAAGCTACTTCCTATGCCTGTGTGCAAGAATTATTCGGAGCGCGATACTTCCTCCTCGCATTTTCCGAGTAAACGGAATACCCGCAACTCGTTTCCTCTAATTTCATTCAATTGCGCTATTTTATGCAAACGGACAATAGCCGGCAGTAGCCGCTAATTACGCTGAATAGAGCTCGGAATGGCCGATGCTGGCTCGCCTTCGTATGTTTATCAGCGCGGGTACAATTAAAAATTCCACTGTGGCGGTTCCGTGACGAATTTAAAAATTCCGTCTTATCTTCTTGCTACTTCTTTCTCTGCCTTAATTAATCGGTTGGTGTACCATTCTGGGAATATTAAAATTACCGCTTACAGGTCTGCAGACTGTCGATGATCTCACGGCGTTTGATAGGAGGCACACGGACGTATCTTTGCATCTTCCCGACCATTCGTTAAGTCAAAAGCGCCCTCGCGATTGTTACATTTGTTTTATACATATTTATCTGCGCGCTATAACTTACGCTTCGCTGCAATTACATTTATTATTCACGCGGTAATAAAATATACCAGATTCTCCAACGACTTTTGTAATTAATCCGTGTGTGAGGTCTTAACATAGCTGCATCTAGTAAGAAGGAATAGATAACTGCCATACTGATTTCATAATTGCATCCTTGCGCGTAATTGGATTAATAATACGAATAAATTAATGCCGAATCCGGCCAATTAGTATAGTGATAAATTTGCCGCACATTTCCTCCTGTCTCGCCGTTTCTTAAGCAACCTTGCGAACATTTTGGCGCATTTGTATGCGCATGGAGATAATTATCAAGGTTGAGTTCAACAACACAAAGCAGACGGAATAAATGTAATGATTGAAATCGAAGAACAAGTACGATATCTTTTCTTTCAAACTTATTATCGCGAAATAAATGAAATTCGATAATTCGGATATTATTGAATAACTGAGAAAAAAAGATAATTAAAATTTATTGTTGTCGAGACGGCTGTGAAAAATTCGGCGAAACACTTCAGAAGTATCTTGAGAGCATTGGCTTTATTGTAAAGCAATATTTTCGAATGCAGGCTCCGACTGCAGCAGACAGACGTATTCGCTGCTCGATTGTTTCGTTAGGTGTATGTCTACTATGTAACGTTACATTTTCCTCTGACATATTACCGATCTTCTCAGCAAGAGAGGATACATATACTTCGCGAGAACTATGGAGCGTAAGAATTTTGCTATCAGCAGTCGTTTCCAACAAAATCAAGCGATGTACGACACGGAGGATTTGGAGATCATCGGCAGTTGCAAGCCTTGCAAGACTTGTCACGAAGTAGATATGCTTTTTTTCGTGCATTTATTTTTCTTAGGTTAGAAGTATTATGACACTTTGATCTATTTTCTTACTTCGATTTAACGCTCAATATGATTGTTCGGTTTTATTCATGTAAGAAGAATAAACGTCACGTTTTTAATCTTAGCATAATGTAAAAATTATACAACTACATATTTATCGCTGTCAAAAGTTAAATATACGGTAAAAGAAATTAGAAAAATATTTTATAGCCTGTATTAATAAAAAAATAATAAGAGACTATCTTTCATTATTTTACATTATTGTGCGTACGTTATCATGATAATAATATCTATCTTTTTCTCTTTTAAAGATTAAGATAAAGACTGAGATTTTGGACGAAATTGAGAATTTTTCGGTCAACGACGAATTGGACATCGAACAGCACGTCAAAAGCAAACAGTTGGAAAGAGTATTGTGCCATGAAAATTCCGAACAGATCCCAAAATCAGACTGTCAAAGAAACGCAAGCGTTTCACTTTCTCGGAGACAAATGGATGAGTACACTGACTTAAAGGAATACATCGTGTCATTGACAAGAGGGAAGCTTTTAATGTGCAACGTCTGCAAGATCGAATTTCCGAACGAGGCCGAGTTCAGGACTCACATGATTGGACACAGCTATGGGAAACTTTTCCAGTGCGGATTTTGCAAGAAGCAGTTCTCAAGGTATCCAAATGACAGAGATAGATCTTACTCCACTTTTATATTGCTAATCACGTTATGAAAATATAATAATGTCACAGATATAATAAAATTTTATATACCATATATATAGTACATAAAATTAAGCTTAATTAAAATTTCTAATTTACATCTGCACGAAAATGTACGTAAAGTTCTTTTTATGTATTTAGAGCACGAATATCATTACATCGGCACATTTGACACGTACACTTCAATGTTATTATTTCTTTGCTGGCCTGAAGCGGCCTTCATCGCTACATCGTATTTATTACTAATAATGCAATTATCTTTTTTATCAAGATCGGCAACCTATAAGGATCATATGCATTTTACTCCGAAGCCTTTTGCGTGCAGACAATGTGAGCTCCAATTCCAGGTAGTTAATGCTAATAACGATTCGTAGATATAATCGTCTTGATATCAGATCTCTTCAAACTCTTTGCTACACAAACTAGTGTACCTATTTTGTATTCAGTTTAATGAATGCTCAGTGATATATTCTGTAGCATGCAAAATTATAGTCCATATAATCTCTATCGAATAATCTGTCAGAAAGAGAATAAATCAACATAAATATCCAAAAGATATGCAACATTTACAGAGTCTTTTAGACATTTTGTGATTCTTGTATCATTTAACTCTTTGCATTGTATAATAACTTCAACATTTTATTCCAACAGTTTGATAATAAAATAAAAAATTGTATACGATATTATATATTATAAATAAATATTTTTTACAATTGCGGAAATATATAATATAACAAAGTATCAAAATTATTTATGTCAAACAAAGCTTGATGTCCAAACTGTTGGAATGATATGTTACATCAAATCAAATAATTAATAATAAGATATTATGCTTTTATCACAGAAGAAACGTGCGTCGGAAGAACGACAGGCTAAAGCGCATTCTCGGAGAAAGACGTTTCGGTGTTTTATCTGTAAGAAAGAATTCCTGCACCATCGGTCGCTGCGCGATCATAAGCTGATGCACAATAACGCGAAGCCGCACGGGTGCACGACCTGCGGCAAGAGCTTCCTGCGGCCCAGCAGCCTTCGGACCCACATGATCGTCCACACCGCGGACTTGCCGTTCGCGTGCAATCTCTGCCCAGCGAAGTTCAAGAGATCGTCAGTGCTGAAAACGCACAAGCTGACGCACACAAGCGTGAGAAGATTCGAGTGCGACATTTGCAAGCATCGTTTCCACCTGAAAGGCGCGCTGAAGCATCACATACTGGCGCATTACGGTGAGCTTGTGAATATTCTCACAACTTCTCTATCCGATGTAGGAAGCCGAACGTATCTGACGCGCGATGAGGCCGTTCTCTGCTGTGCACGAGAGATCGCGCCATTTATATCTCTGTTATCTTTTTTTTCTTTATCGCGCGCCGAGGCCGCATAGGACCATTAGCTTCTCATAGCTTCTCCAGCGAAGCGTTTAGTCTGTGAAATGATTACTGCGGACAAAAGGAACGTACCGAGATAATCGGAAGCTCGGTTCGCAACGCGCTCAAATGATCATGCGCATAAGCGCATTTTTCGACGCGCTAAAACACATTCGCGGCTTCTCGCGCGACCTGGGCGTTCCGCGGCGGATATGTATTCCGGACTTTTAATTAACCTCTGTCTGTATACATATATAACCGGGGTGAACGCATGGAAGAACTTTGCTCTTCGCCGCGAATCGACTCGCTCCTTCAAAAAAACCGTTCTTCAAAGATATGATTATTAATATCGTACTTTCGTGATTTATACTTTGCATACAGACAAGTTGATAATTATTAGTGAGTGAATGATTTGTATACTCATATATAATGCTATTCAGAATATTATTTATCTGATATGCAATTTTGAAAACGTTAGTGAAAAGGATGTTAAAAGAAAACGTTTACAAAATGTTAAAAGAAAAGATATAAGAATTTGTAATCTAAATATAATTTTTTAGTAACGTTTTAGTGCTATTGTGAAGTTTAAAATAATCTGTACTGAACAAATGCTTTTTTTACATTTTGTCAATTGCAAAATAAAGGAAAATTATAACAAAATTCATACAATTATTTAAAATTTTAGGTATCAAGCCCTATAAATGTGAAGACTGCGGCCAAACTTACAGAAGATCCTGGGGTTTGAAAGTGCATAGATATCGACATACTGGCGTAAAGCAATTCGAATGCGATTTCTGCAAGCTGCGCTTCAGCGTGAAGACGAAGCTCGCGAATCATATTTACACGCACACTGGCGAGAAACCTTACAAGTGTAATGCCTGCGGACGTCAGTACGGCGAGAGATATCAGTTGAAAGCGCACAGGTGTACGGCATTACTTGACAACTCATTGAAACTGAAAACTACCCAAATTTCATTCTATCAGCCAAAGCTATCGAAAAGTCTGATAAAAGTAAACTCATTTAACAGCGTATGCTAAGAAATAATGCCATCGAGAAATATTGTTCAAGTTAAGATTGCAAATCTTTTGTTATATCGAAAACATTCTGAATATATCGAGCAGACAATAAAAACAACTATTAAACTCATAAAAATTGCGTATAAAAAATGTATATAGATTTACGAATATCACAACGCAACTTTCAAAGCGCAGATGCTGCCCGAACGATTAATTTAATTATTATCGGTCACGATCGCGCTTATAATAAGACTCGTTCCTCGGCTTGATACAATGGCTGGCCACCATTTCGTTCGTGATCAAATCTATCCGCACGGATCCCATCCGTGTTTGCATGCCCGTGAAGCTTAATAAGGCATGGCCTTAATAAGCACTTCGCCGCAGAACAAAACACCGATTAATCCCAGACTGGACCGACTCGATACGGATTGGTTTCGAGCTGCCTGCCGACTCGCGCGGGATAGGTCGGCTTAGGTTCGTCATCAACGTATCGTATATAATCACAGTCTTTATTCGATATTGCTCGAACGTGACCGCCGGGATCACCGAACAGCGCAGCGAAATTAATGCAACTTCCAAGACGTAACAGTCCTCTGGAAACAATTATTTACTTTCAACGATATACACCCATGTGTTGTTATAATAGCGAACGTCGTAGATACCGCATATAATTGTTTACGTAATTTACATTCCTGTCGTGGAGAAAGCAGATTTCGCAATACAAATAGTTCGCACAATTTCTTTTTAATCAGCAACGTCTAAGGAATTAATTACTGCTTCCTTGATTTCGTAAAAATTCCACAGCGATATATTAAAATTAATTAAATATCTCGATCTGTAATTATTGCACATTGCTTCGTCTTTCGCTTCATCTTAGTGCTTTTGGCGATAATCAAAATCGAAATTTGTATCATTATTTATAAGACAGCGGTTTTATCTTGTTATCAAATTTACGATTGTTTAAATGTAGAACTTATTGAAAAAAAATCAATTGTGTAAATGTGGAATATGCGATACTAATGTTGTGCTCGGCAGCCACCTCGAAAGCATCTCAAGCACGTGGGCTCTGCTTATGTCGCCGCACGTGAGAATGATTCTTTAAGGTGCGTGGACGCAGCAGGGGCTCGTACGCACCGTAATCTGAGATGCTCCGCTTCTTATCAGATCGCATCCCTGATTCGCGTGCCTTGCGGCTAAACTCTTTGACAATGCCGACGCGTATCCGCCTTCTGACCCCGTTTCTGTATTTATTTATACGACAAAAAGTAAAAAAAATATGTTTTTGCGATTTATATTGTACGTTAAATGATAGACTTTTTAAGTCAACAAGCGTTAAATAGATTTTTGCAAATTTATTTTCGAATCTATATATTTATTCGAAACTTGAAGTGTTAATGTAAATACCTCAAGTTACTTTTCTAATACTTTTTCTAAATAAAAAATATAATTATTCATTAAAATAAATAATAGTTGACACAATCGGAATGCATCGCGTGTCTAATAGTTCGATGTTTATCTCGTCCACAGTTGGAATTCGTTCTGCTTATGCGCGGTTCGGACAAATGGCTTCCTCGCAACAGTGCAATTTAAATACGTGGATTTCTCTCGTTCATATCTCTCGCCTAATTATGCCCGCGCTTCGCGAAATCTACGATCTGACAATCCGCATACGGGCGTTGCACACTGCGGCACGCAGAGAGTCACGCCAAGTCCTAATTATTTAGATAGCGATCATAGCGATTTAATTATGCCCTCTCCCCTCTATCGCTGCTCCGTTCGCCGGTATGCTAATGGCACTTAATGCAGATAGTAACGCCGATACTATTTGCCGTACCGGTTACTAATTGCGAGCTCGCAATTATTGCGTGAATCCAGCGGACGATGGATTTGGAAACTCGGGAAATACGTAACGACGGTGGCTATCGCGCTCTCTGCATTCATGTTACGTAACACATCCGTTTTTTCTGGCCAGCTGATAAAAAAAAAACACGATGAAAAATACTTATTCATGTAAATTTATTATTTATGTTAATATTGCAAATCGCGAAGCATAACAGAATAACGTAACGCGGTGATAAACTCATCATTCTATTTGGAAAATACGCGTGCGATATATTTATTTAATACTAAATACTATTATATATACTATGTATTATAATAACTTTATAACGCCAAATATAAATTATATAATTTTCGGTCGATCTATACGCTTCACTTAAGCAAGTTAGACCGTTCCCAAGGGCTGTCGTAGTAAGGGACAGAAACAGCGGACGGTTCGGCGGATCCGTAAAAGAAAAATGGGACAGAGCATATTAAATAACGACGATGTCGATTAGTATTGACAACGGCGATTAAAGAGCCCGAATTGCCAGTCGGTAATGACCGAGCACAGGCTGCGCGAGCACAGTGAGCACTGTAATTTCATTGATAATATTTAAATACGGGCTTTTGATAGCTGTCTTCTCTCGGCTGGCATTAGCGCGGGCCCCGAAGGTCCCATCCGGTCCCCCCCCCCCTCCAACCGAATCACCCCGCCTCTGGAAGACGGGCAAAGGCGTACTATTTATCGACCTGGTCCCATCATTATTTCATCGAACTCTTTCATCGCCTCGCCTTGTTAATCGATAACCCGCAAAGACGAAGCTCGGCTGCCGACTCGAGCAAGGGCTTGCCGGTCGTTTAAACTAAGACAAAAGGCTTACTTTGTAACCTTTTTGCCGCGATAATTTATCTCTAATCTTATAGAAATTCAATGTACGTTTGTTCACGGTTTCGCTTAATCATCCCATTTTTATATAACTAATTTGTGTAATTATTTCCTAAAAAGAAAACCGCAGGCGTGAGAGATCGACAGCATGAAGAATATAATGGAGATAATAGTTATTTGCTTAAATATACATGCAAATTGTTTAGCATCAACTGCACCTCGCATGCTTTTAATTAACACGACTCCACCTGATCGTAATCGCGCGCCGCGCGTTTCTAAGGTTAATGTGCATTTAAATCACAATACGGAGGAAAATAACGCGAGTAGCATGACCGACGTATTCTTTGGACTTTTGATGCAGACAACGCGATCTATTATTTAAACACTGATAAAGCGCTATCGCTCTGTTCCCAAGAAAATCGTGTGACGCGAGAAATTATAATGCTTCCTTGCACACTGTAATATGTTATAACTTACATATTATTTTATAAAATACGTGATGCATTGATTGTAACGACAAAAAGACGCAAGATAAATTCTGTTATTTATATTTTGAAATGCATTTTGAAAGAGAGACGTAATTGAAGACGAATAAATAAGGTTTTTGCATGGATGCAATCCAATACATTCTAATTGGATATGAAACCAAGTCGACGAAAAAATCCCGGCAAAAATCCCAACGACACAGCGAAATTTGAAATTTATATCTCCTGATTGCGCAAGCAGGACGTTTCGCGTACGCTGATGCATCCGTCATCTTTTTCTGCGGAGTAAGAATCCCCTGAGTGCATAATCGCCCTACTATACAACCTTCTCAAACGACGAGCATCGAATGCAGGGAAGCTTCGTCGATTTACTGTGTCATTAAAAAAATATTTAAACGCAGCTCGAAGAAATTGAATCTACTTGTATACTAAAGGTACTTAAAAATGATTGAAAATCATCGACGATAGTACTACAAGCAATGAATAAGTGCAGTCAAATTAATCTTACGAAATATAGGCCTAATAAGTTCGGCTGTTAAAAAATAAATATAACAGAGTTTTCATAGTAGTTTTCAAAAATAGATCGTTTCGGAACAATCGCCGACGACATTCGCGGTCTTGAAGACCGATTCTCGCTGCGATCACTTCGCGAGGTGGAAGTGCCGCGGTGTTTTTGAGACGCAGAAAGACAGGGAAAGAGAACGAGAGAGAGCGCGGCGCTTCTTCTTGCCGATCAGTTCTTCGTTTCGATGTAGGTAATCATGCGCCGCATTCCCCGAGTGCCGCGGAGATTTTCGGTTTCATTGTATGCGAGGGGTTGAGCCCGAGGACCGAGGAGTCCTCTCCTGGACTCGAGGCAGGAAAAAGAGAAGCCGCGAGGCGCAGAACGAGGAAGACGTCGCGGAAAGAAGGAGAGGAAGAGTCGCGGACGAAGAGGAAGAAGAACAGGGACGAGAGCGGGCGGATGGAGGAGGAAAACGAGGAGAGGCAGCAGAGCTGCCGGCGGATCCATCGTCCGTCTCCGTGGAAGCAAACGACGCAAAAACTGGCGTGCATTGTCCCCAACTGAGAGCTCGGGAAGAGAGCAGAGGGAAAGAAAGAGAGAGAGAGAGAGGAGAGAGAGAGAGAGAGAAAGAAAGATTCGCTGGTAAAGAGAATAGCAGAGAAACGGAGAGTATTTCTGTGTTTCATCGGTAGAGCTACGCATACCAACCTGCGGCACTGTGTCTGGGCAGTCCTACCGAGAAAAGAGCGAGGGATAGCAAGGAGGAGGGGGTGCGGCCAATTTGATTTTTAAATGCAAACAAATCTACATCGTGGCAAAAGCGCCGCCGATCGACGTTATTGCTACCGATGCCCGCTGCCGCCGCTGCGGTGAAGAGCGAGGGCTTGATGCCGGAGCATCATCGCCAGTCTGTCGGATATTTTTTTCAATCATCGAAGGCCGTCACGAGAGCACTCCCGCTGATCTTATTCTTCTGTTCCGCTCGTTTCGCAGTTCTTTTCTACGCGAGAGAATCTTGTACCGCGGCCGATCTCTCTCACGGTAATCGTCGGGCGATCAGAAATACGCGCAAATATCGTGATTTGAAAAAGCTCCTTGCGCAAGAAGCAAAGCTAGATCTGAACGCCCTAAGTGTAAACTAAATTGAATTGTTAAAAAGATGTCGTAGTCAAGAGCATTTATATAATTGTCTGGAAAATTAATAAAAAAAAACAATCAGAAAAAATTTCATATATCTAAAATTATTCTTTAAAATATGACAGAATAAACAGGACGAGAGTTTAAAAATACATGTAAATTACGTAAATTGGAGAACATTTCAGGAATTGCCCGCGATATCGATAAAAGCCTTCTTGTCTGTGCGCTGCGAAAAATCCATCAGCGATTTGTCGCCGGCCGTATCTCCTCGGCTCGATTTCTTTTCGGCCTTGGCGATTGAGAAAAAAGGAGCAGCCGGGCGAGTCCTTTGGTTCCAAGTAGGGTGTAATTGCCGCTTCCGACGACGGGAGGAACGACGTCGGCGCTTGTCTCAACATTGCTGCATGTGCGCGTCGACGTTCATAAGTTATGAAACCGGCGGATAAGATCCTACTGTCGCTCTCCCGCCCGCGAAGCTTCCTTAGCCGCGGAACGAAGGAGCGGGATGAGCGATAGGTCGAGTCCAGAAGTTCGAGCGAGACGGGCGAGATCGGGAGAGGACGGAGGGAGCATAATTGTCGGTGGATTAATGAGACGGCATAATTGCACGATAATCGACGATCGTTTTATTAGGCGACCAGTCGGGCCTTCCGACTGGAACTCCGGACTTGTCGAAGACACAGAGAACACCGCACCGCCGCGATCGCATATTATTATGAGGAGAACGAAGCTGGCGAGGACGCGGTAGGCATGTCAGGCTGCTCAGAAATGACAATTACCGAAGATGCGGTTAAACATACCCCCTCATCTCCCTCGGTCGACGATTCCAAAGCATGTGGAATGCTATGTCATTACTATTTAATGAGCAGAGTCATCTACGCAATATCAAAATTTACATTACAAAATTATGAAAATTTTAATTACGTCTAGCTGTACGGAGTTGAATCTCAAAAATACAATAAAAGCACGCATCTTCGTGCCAAAGCAAGATTCTTGACTACGTTTATGTAAAATTTGGCAAATTTTTTGATTACTAATTACACCATCGTTTTACTCAATATTCGAATTTTTCGAGTAGATATAAATGGTTGTTTTTTATACGTAAACGATCAACATTGCTTCAATTCCGA